TTACGCCTAAATCTTCTAGTCTATACGAGTATAATACGGCCGGCTTTGCTGTATGGTGTACCTCTGTTTGAACATATCAGCAAAAGTACGGAGAAAAGATTACAATATTTCCAAAATGGAATAATTAGAAAAATTGTAAGAGGATGATGCAGTGAAAGAAGATAGTTGATATATAAGCAACACTAAATTTATCAACAATAAAAGAATTTTTCGCAAAACGAAAAAAATCATTTTTCGAAAAATCTCAGCAATTGGCAAATACTCTTTTGTTTTGTTTGTTACCAGCCAAAATTCCAAAACGTTGGCAACAAATCACATGAAATCGATGTTTTATTTACATCAAGAAAGACGAAGCCGGAAAAATGTTAACACTGTTGCATTCCTTGTATGAAAAGCATATCTTGGATTTAGAAGATTTTACTAGAAAGGTAAAGAAATGAAGAACCATTTATTTATTTTTTTCAAAAATCTATTTAAGTTATTCACTATGGCATTCTTTATATACCATCACAATCAGGCCAACATTTCGGATTTTGTTTTCCTATTTTCAATACCGTAATTTTTCTTTTCAAAACTTATACAATTTATGATAATAATATCATAAAATGGGAATTATCGGAAAATCGATAATAATAATCGAAAATGGGAATTTTCAAGGTTTGAAGTTTACTAAATGAAATGTCACAGATAAATATAAAGTTTTTCCATTAATTAATTTCTTATGTTTCCGAACCCTTCACTATCATTTCATTCCTTAAAGTTTTACGTTTCTAATTAAATAGTAAACTAATGTCACAAAGGAATTGGGAACGCATACGTTTTCTCAAGAATAAAGAATAATTTTATAATAACAATAGTCTTCCTTCTACTCAAATACCAAACATTTTTTATTGGAATTGAAACAATCCAAAACTGAAAAAGAAATACTTTTACAAAGTTCATAATACGATGCGCCACATAAGATACGTTTAAAACAAGTAACGCCTAAGACAAGATTCTAATCTGCTTTTACACAGAGAGTGGATGGGGCGGCATTGGGTTTCAGTAGAAAATCCAATTTTTATTTCTGAACTATTAAAGGGATAGTGTCCTATAAATCCCTGATAATTTTCGTGGGTATAGGAGAAGTCATTTGAAGTTATCATAATTTCTGAAGACTCCAAAGGCCATAAAATAATCTCTCTAAACAGGGGGCATATAAATATGTCACTGTTTTTAATTAATTGTTATTTATTTATATTAATGTAAGAATTTTTAATTATTTATTTTTGAAAATCGAAACATGTTAGCATCTTTGGGAATGTTATATTTGTTAATTTTAGACAGTGCCGACCTTAGAGATTCGGCGCCACCGGTCAATGACGTCATCTCTCCCCTCCCCCCACTAAATTTAATTTATTTCTTAAATTGTTTAAATTTTCGTATAATTTGAATTTTATTTCATTCTACTTTGCTCTTATACAGTTGCTTTATTGATTGGCTAAAATTAGTTATTTTAATAGGTTTTGTTTTGTTTTTCAAAAAGTGGCGAGCGCCCAGGAAGCTCCATCCTAATGTCAGCTTAGTTGGGCCTGCTTCATAAGAATATTTTCTATTCACTTTTATAAGTATTAGATCTAAGACATACAGACTCCAAAATTTAATTCGGACAATAAACCTATCTTTACGCCTAAATCTTCTAGTCTATACGAGTATAATACGGCCGGCTTTGCTGTATGGTGTACCTCTGTTTGAACATATCAGCAAAAGTACGGAGAAAAGATTACAATATTTCCAAAATGGAATAATTAGAAAAATTGTAAGAGGGACCACGATGCAGTGAAAGAAGATAGTTGATATATAAGCAACACTAAATTTATCAACAATAAAAGAATTTTTCGCAAAACGAAAAAAATCATTTTTCGAAAAATCTCAGCAATTGGCAAATACTCTTTTGTTTTGTTTGTTACCAGCCGAAATTTCAAAACGTTGGCAACAAATCACATGAAATCGATGTTTTATTAATTTAGTTGTAAGTTCTATAGGATAAGGTCAACTTAAGCCTGAGGTGAGCCCCATTACCTTTATATTACAGGTGAAGAACGAAATTCTTAGAAACGACAAAAATCTAAAAATAAACCTTACAATGCATTTAAGCAGTAAAAGGAGTATTATTAAGACAATCCAAGGATTAAAGACAAGAATAAGTAGAAAGGGGATATGGAAAAATAAATAAATAAAAAAAGTATTATTAAATGTAATTTTAATTATTTCAGCATGCAAGTTGTTAGATATATCTAAATGTATGGCCTTTATAATAAGAGAGAGTACGATTGAGATTAAAAATAATAATAAAAATGTATTAAAAAAACTACGGTATGTACTTAAGACCACACGATGCAAGTGAAAATATCAACAAGGCGGGATTAATAACATGAAATATATTTTTTGGTTTATTTTTTTTAATAATGAAACATTTTAATCGTCCAAAAAATTCAAAAACTTAACCCACCCTCAAAATTTGAGGTTTTGCGTTTCAGGATACGCAAAATTCGAAAATCGAGTAAAACATGTTTTTGTCGCTCGGCTGTCCTCCGTCCACCCATTTTCTCAGAGAATACTGGACTGACATTATTCAAATTTGGATTTAAAATCGAAGATTACCCGAGAATGGGTATCAGCTCGTACCGTCGCTCGTTGCACCTTATCATTTGCTCCAGAAAAGGGACTGCAAAATCATATCAAATTATTTGTGATTTCGTAGGAAATATAATGAAAAAAAAAATTGAGCTATAGTTAAGACTTTAACATTATTTTATATATTAATATACTCAACCAATAATAACTTAAAGACTTAAGAATATATTTAAATGGCTTAAAAATATAAGCCTGCGATACTTGAATCATAGTATTATTTATAAGTAATAATATTTTTTATAAAATGGGTGGTCGCTATTGAAAAACTTCTTGTTGATCTTGATACAAGAGTTCAGAATCTATTTATTTTATCCACAAAAATATTTGATATAATTGTTCTACTTTATGTTTATTTCATCAGCTTTTTGAGAGACATGATTCCATATAAGATATCGACGGTCTCAACGTGAAACTGTGTAACTAACAAACCCCTAATTAGCAACAGAGGCAAAAATATGTTTCACAAGGGTACATAGAAAGGAGTTACATGGTGAAAGTTGTACCATAAAAATTGTTATTTGTAGATGACTTGAGAATGAGCTAATCAGCTCGAAACGTCGTTTGAAATGGAATAAAAAATTTTAAAGTATAAGGACTTATATATTTAGTGTTGTAAAAAAGCTCGGCGAGAAGGTTACAAGGCTTGAGCCGAAAAGACTCGAGCTTTCCCGACTCGGAAAATGTTCGAGTGCTAAGAGATCGACGGTAAAAGGCTTGATCTTATTAATGAACTTTTTGTGTTTTTTTACAATTTTCATAATAGATTAAACTGTTTTACACTATGTTTTAGTAGTATTACTTCTTTGACGGTTCCTTGAATTATAGTTTTAACTGAAACAAAGTCTATTGTTTATTATATTATATAATTCTCCCCCCTACCAAAAAAAAAATCAAAGTAGAAAAAGTATTATCCATCTACCCAAACATAATGCCATTTTATCTATAAAAAAAAAGAAGTATTATAATAGAATAAACATCGGTTTATTGAGTAGAGACAGTAATTAATTTTTTAATGGAGCTGATTTTTTAAGAACGATATATGAATTCGAAATTAGAGTAATTGGTCTCCGCACAAAAAATTAAAAATGTAAGTAGAAAAAGTACCAACTACCTACCAAAAAACATTGTCATTTCATGTTTTTAAAAAATTCGGAAGGGAGAGAGGTGGATAATCCCCACCACCCAAAAAAAAAGTTGAGTAAAGTATTACTCATCTGCCCAAACATATTGCCATTTCATGTTTTTAAAAAATTCGGCGGGGAGGGGGGTTAAAACCCCGCTCAAATAAAAATAAAAGTAAAATGAAGTATCATCTACCTACTCTTAGTAAAAGGCTCTAGACGATTTATTTACACCACGAGTAGGTGGGCGGGGTGGCCGAATGGGCTAACGTGTGTGCACAGCACCGCCGTTGCTTGGCAATCTGATGTATGAGACAACGGATTTAAAATAGTCACGAGTTCGCGTCCCGGTGGCGGGAGAGTCTTTTAAATCCCCGCCCACACCCCTTGGCCCTGGAAAACCTCGTATAGACTTAAAGGCGAGGAAGGGGAGGACGGAAAAAAAAAATCACACTACGAATATATTCCAAAAATGTATTCACGTAGTTAATATCAAAGGAAATATAATATATTCACATTATATAAAAAGTATATATGTTTAGGAAAATTTACAATAATTTAATTTTTTTTTAATGATAAACTCATTAAGCCTATGAGGCTTCAACCCGATCCTTGGAGGTTCGAGGTTTAAAGGCTCTAGAGCCGAGCCTTCACGACTCGATCCTTTACTATTCGAGTCGTAGCTAGAGGTTGTTTTTAAAACTCTGTATGTATTCCTTGGAGTGTGTTTGAGCGAGGAGTCCTCAGAAGGATTTATGGTCCAGTAAAGGAGGGTGATGTCTGGAGGAAAAGAAAAAATAGGGAGCTCAGTTCTCTCTATACAGACGTAGTCACCTATATTAAACTGGCCAGGCTAAGGTGGGCAAGGCATGTGGCCAGAATGAGCACCGTTGAAATACCAAAGAAAATAGTGATGGAGGAGCTGCATCTCGTAAGTAGGAAGGCCGAGGACGAGATGGTTGGACAACGTGGCCTATGATGCGAGAACCCTGCTTGGTGTACGGAACTGGAGAGCTGCAGCAGAAGACAGAGCCAACTGGCGGAGGCTCTTGGAGGAGGCCCAGTCTCGGTAACGGGATGTCGTGCCACACATGATGATGATGATGTATTCCTTGAAGACACCATATATAAGAACATTGAGGGCCCTTGAAAAGTATTACTGTAGTAGCTAAATACACTAATAATTTATTATTCTAATTCCAGAAATAGGCGCTGGAGATTGCCGCCCAGCTATCACAGAGGTAACAGTAATTGAAAACCAAACAGAAGAAGAGGATCTATCAACAAGTACCATTCTCCTCAGGTCTAGATGGTTCTACTACGCTCTACTTCTCGGAATCCTCTCCTTCCTCATCAGCTTTGATGGTGAGCAATGTGATATAAAAGGAATAAACATTAAATATAATTTCACTAAACTTGATTTTCAAATATTTCATTTGCAGCAAATTTCATCACGGAAGATGGACAAATGTTCGAAGGTAATATTTGACATAAGCATGGATGTTATTTATTTTTTTTTTCTTATTTATTTATTTTGTTAATTTGCGTTGTATTATATATTATTTCATCTGTTTTACTAAACTTTCTTTTCTTATTTTTGATATAATTTCTATTATTTCTGTAATTGTTTATATTATATGAATGAGTTTCTCACATCGCAAATACTCAATGCCCTTGATTGAGGCAAAATGTATTTTTTCCTCAATTAAACAAAAAAAAAAAAAAAGAAAGAGAAATTGACAATGAACGCAAAAATAGGATAGCTTTTAATATATTGTCAGTATCATATGAAAACTTCTTGATTTTAAGTATCTTAATCGTATAATTTTGAGTAAGTTTTACAAAAATTGAAGAGCCTCGAAAATTAAAATTAAATTAAGGTCGAGTTTTTTAAATTAGGGGTACCCATCTTCTCCAAGGTCATCGGAAAACAAAACTCCCTCCCTCCTCTCCAAAAAAAAAAAAGAAAATCCTATATGCTTTCCTGATTTTAAAAACAGAGTAACCGTAAGTACAATTCGAAAAAAAAGACGTAGATAATATACAAAAACAATTGTGTATCTAATCCGCGTTTTTCAATTTTGTCCCTTGTTTGAAAATTTTCATTTCTAAACTTCATAACCTTTGGAAATGTATCCTCTTAAAAATCCCGTCAAAATGTGACTTCCCCCACAAAAATTTTTATGGTACAACTTTCACCATGTAACTCCCTTCCATCTACCCTAGTGAAACATATTTTTGCCTCTGTTGCTAATTAGGGGTTTTTTAGTTACACAGTTTCACGTTGAGACCGTCGATATCTTATGGCGATTATATAAAATGTTTTTGTGGATAAAATAAATAAATTCCGAATTCCTGCATCAAGCAAGACGTTTTTCAATAGCGACCACCCAATTGGCTTATATTTTTAATCCTATTTAAATATATTCTTAAGCCTTTAAATTATAATAGGTTGAGTATATTAAAATACAAAATAATGTTAAAATCTTAACTATAGCTCAAATTTATTTATATTTTCAATACAATTTCTGAGAAGACACAAATAATTTAATACGATTTTGCAGTCCCTTTTCTGGAGCAAATGATAAGGTGCAACGAGCGACGGTACGAGCTGATACACAATTTAAATGTCATTCATACAGGTCTGATAATTATTTAAATTATATAATTTATTTTATAGTTATTTGAATATGCGATATACTGGAATTACTGTCGCAGCTTTGAAGCGGTGCACGCTAGAAGACAGCAAGAAAGACGAAGCCGGAAAAATGTTAACACTGTTGCATTCCTTGTATGAAAAGCATATCTTGGATTTAGAAGATTTTACTAGAAAGGTAAAGAAATGAAGAACCATTTATTTATTTTTTTCAAAAATCTATTTAAGTTATTCACTATGGCATTCATATACCATCACAATCAGGCCAACATTTCGGATTTTGTTTTCCTATTTTCAATACCGTAATTTTTCTTTTCAAAACTTATACAATTTATGATAATAATATCATAAAATGAGAATTATCGAAAAATCGATAATAATAATCGAAAATGGGAATTTTCAAGGTTTGAAGTTTACTAAATGAAATGTCACAGATAAATATAAAGTTTTTCCGTTATTAATTTCTTATGTTTCCGAACACTTCACTGTCATTTCATTCCTTAAAGTTTTACGTTTCTAATTAAATAGTAAACTAATGTCACAAAGGAATTGGGAACGCATACGTTTTCTCAAGAATAAAGAATAATTTTATAATAACAATAGTCTTCCTTCTACTCAAATACCAAACATTTTTTATTGGAATTGAAACAATCCAAAACTGAAAAAGAAATACTTTTACAAATTTCATAATACGATGCGCCACATAAGATACGTTTAAAACAAGTAACGCCTAAGATAAGATTCTAATCTGCTTTTACACAGAGAGTGGATGGGACGGCATTGGGTTTCAGTAGAAAATCCAATTTTTATTTCTGAACTATTAAAGGGATAGTGTCAAGGAAATAAAAATGTCAGCTTCGGCAGGGGATAATCCAGTTATATTTAACTTGGAAAAAAACTTCACCTAAAAGTTATTAGGGTTTTCTCCCAGCAACCTCTTATAGGTATACCAATAATAGGTATACCTCTTATAGCAATATACCATTGGGAGCCTCAAAGCAAATTAATGGTAGAGGTAGAGACCACAAATTAATCCATTCGAAAATTGCTTTAAAACCTTGGTTCGCCACTAATGTATTATGTTTGGAAAAAGAAAAGAGGCGATACATCTAATAAGGTTCCGAACCAATCATGGCGATAAAATGGCAAATAAATTCTTAAATTTGATAAAAATAAACGCGAAACAAAATTGTGAGTTATGTAACGAAGGCGAAGATTCCACTACAGTCGGCGACATCCTTTAAGCGTTTTATAACAAAGAAAGGTGGAAACATTTGGAGTGGTCAACACTCACCTAAGGCAAAAAAAGAGGACCAAGATCGAGTAGGAAACTATCAAAAATAAGCAACATATAGTTGTTTGTGTGCTTAAAGGTCTCGTCTTAATTCGACTCCAACATGATTAAAAGATTGTTTTAGTGTTTCATTCATTGTGACTGCAAAGATTCACTACATTTGGCGATTTTTAACCGTTTTATAAAAAAGAAAGGTGAAAATATTTAGAGGGGTTAGCACTCACCTAAAGCAAAAAAGCAGCAGGATCGAGAAGGACACTATCAACTCAAAAAATTCACACGAAAAGCAAATTACGGCTTCAATGCTTGAAAAAAACATAAATTTCTCGAAAAATAGGATTGTGTATAAAATCTTAACGCAAAAAAATAAGCAAAATATAGTTGTTTGTGTGCTAAAAGGTCTCGTCTTGATTCGACTCCAACATAATTAAAAGTTTTTTTCAATGTTTCATTCATTGTGACTGCAAATATTCACTACATTTGGCGATATCCTTTAACAGTTTTATAAAAAAGAGGGGTGAATATATTTGTAGGGGTCAGCACTCACCTAAAGCAAAAAAGAAGCAGGATCGAGAAGGACACTATCAACTCAAAAAATTCACACGAAAAGCAAAATTACGGCTTCAATGCTTGAAAAAAACGTAAATTTCTCGAAAAATAGGATTGTGTATAAAATCTTAACGCAAAAAAATAAGCAACATATAGTTGTTTGTGTGCTAAAAGGTCTCGTCTTAATTCGACTCCAACATCATTAAAAGTTTGTTTCAGTGTTTCATTCATTGTGACTGCAAAGATTCACTACATTTGGCGATATCCTTTAACCGTTTTATAAAAAAGAGAGGTGAATATATTTGTAGGGGTCAGCACTCACCTAAAGCAACAAAATAACAGGATCGAGAAGGACACTATCAACTCAAAAATTCACACGAAAAGCAAATTACGGCTTCAATGCTTGAAAAAAACATAAATTTCTCGAAAAATAGGATTGTGTATAAAATCTTAACTCAAAAAGATAAGCAACATATAGTTGTTTGTGTGCTAAAAGGTCTCGTCTTAATTCGACTCCAACATCATTAAAAATTTGTTTCAGTGTTTCATTCATTGTGACTGCAAAGATTCACTACATTTGGCGATATCCTTTAACCGTTTTATAAAAAAGAGGGTGAATATATTTGTAGGGGTCAGAACTCACCTAAAGCAACAAAATAACAGGATCGAGAAGGACACTATCAACTCACAAAATTCACACGAAAAGCAAAATTACGGCTTCAATGCTTGAAAAAAACATAAATTTCTCGAAAAATAGGATTGTGTATAAAATCTTAACTCAAAAAAATAAGCAACATATAGTTGTTTGTGTGCTAAAAGGTCTCGTCTTAATTCGACTCCAACATGATTAAAAGTTTGTTTCAGTGTTTCATTCATTGTGACTGCAAAGATTCACTACATTTGGCGATTTTTAACCGTTTTATAAAAAAGAGATGTGAAAATATTTGGAGGGGTTAGCACTCACCTAAAGCAAAAAAGGAGCAGGATCGAGAAGGACACTATCAACTCAAAAAATTCACACGAAAAGCAAAATTACGGCTTCAATGCTTGAAAAAAACATAAATTTCTCGAAAAATAGGATTGTGTATAAAATCTTAACGCAAAAAAATAAGCAACATATAGTTGTTTGTGTGCTAAAAGGTCTCGTCTTAATCCGACTCCAACATGATTAAAAGTTTTTTTCAATGTTTCATTCATTGTGACTGCAAAGATTCACTACATTTGGCGATATCCTTTAACAGTTTTATAAAAAAGAGGGGTGAATATATTTGTAGGGGTCAGCACTCACCTAAAGCAAAAAAGAAGCAGGATCGAGAAGGACACTATCAACTCAAAAAATTCACACGAAAAGCAAAATTACGGCTTCAATGCTTGAAAAAAACGTAAATTTCTCGAAAAATAGGATTGTGTATAAAATCTTAACTCAAAAAAATAAGCAACATATAGTTGTTTGTGTGCTAAAAGGTCCCGTCTTAATTCGACTCCAACATCATTAAAAATTTGTTTCAGTGTTTCATTCATTGTGACTGCAAAGATTCACTACATTTGGCGATATCCTTTAACCGTTTTATAAAAAAGAGAGGTGAATATATTTGTAGGGGTCAGAACTCACCTAAAGCAAAAAATAAGCAGGATCGAGAAGGACACTATCAACTCAAAAATTCACACGAAAAGCAAAATTACGGCTTCAATGCTTGAAAAAAACATAAATTTCTCGAAAAATAGGATTGTGTATAAAATCTTAACGCAAAAAGATAAGCAACATATAGTTGTTTGTGTGCTAAAAGGTCTCGTCTTAATTCGACTCCAACATCATTAAAAATTTGTTTCAGTGTTTCATTCATTGTGACTGCAAAGATTCACTACATTTGGCGATATCCTTTAACCGTTTTATAAAAAAGAGAGGTGAATATATTTGTAGGGGTCAGAACTCACCTAAAGCAACAAAATAACAAGATCGAGAAAGACACTATCAACTCACAAAATTCACACGAAAAGCAAAATTACGGCTTCAATGCTTGAAAAAAACATAAATTTCTCGAAAAATAGGATTGTGTATAAAATCTTAACGCAAAAAAATAAGCAACATATAGTTGTTTGTGTGCTAAAAGGTCTCGTCTTAATTCGACTCCAACATGATTAAAAGTTTTTTCATGTTTCATTCATTGTGACTGCAAAGATTCACTACATTTGGCGATATCTTTAACCGTTTTATAAAAAAGAAAGGTGAATATATTCGTAGGGATCAGCACTCACCTAAAGCAAAAAAGAAGCAGGATCGAAAAGGACACTATCATCTCAGAAAATTCATAAGAACAGCAAAATTACGGCTTCAATGTTTGAAAAAAACATAAATTTCTCGAAAAATAGGATTGTGTATAAAATCTTAACGCAAAAAAATAAGCAACATATAGTTGTTTGTGTGCTAAAAGGTCTCGTCTTAATTCGACTCCAACATAATTAAAAGTTTTTTTCAATGTTTCATTCATTGTGACTGCAAATATTCACTACATTTGGCGATATCCTTTAACAGTTTTATAAAAAAGAGGGGTGAATATATTTGTAGGGATCAGCACTCACCTAAAGCAAAAAAGAAGCAGGATCGAGAAGGACACTATCAACTCAAAAAATTCACACGAAAAGCAAAATTACGGCTTCAATGCTTGAAAAAAACGTAAATTTCTCGAAAAATAGGATTGTGTATAAAATCTTAACTCAAAAAAATAAGCAACATATAGTTGTTTGTGTGCTAAAAGGTCCCGTCTTAATTCGACTCCAACATGATTAAAAGTTTGTTTCAGTGTTTCATTCATTGTGACTGCAAACAATATTTACGAGAGCATGGCTGCCCACAGTTCTTCAGATTCATTAACGTTTACTGTTCCATTAATGGTTACGAAGCGAAACGCCTTCCTCAATGAAGTTGTCTAACGCAAATTATATTTTTAAACCTGACAAGTTATTCCTGAAATTAATCCACCAAAACTAATAAATTCATCAGGTTTATTTATTTGTATAGACCAAGAAAGATCTTAGAAACAAAATTAAGTACCACTCTACCTAGAATAGATATAAGCGAAACAATTAAATAATTAATATTTCTATTAACTGTTTTCAGATACCGAAGAGTTGCAAAAATATCGGGAAGAAGAATGTGCCCTCTTAGCACAATATATCCTTCATTTTTTTCAGAAGAATTTGCTGTCCTTTTAACGGTGTATGCAATTTGTCCAGATTTGATAAATACGTTTATTTCAGACTATTTTAAATTGTTTATAAAATAAGTAAAAATTAATTAAAAATGATTGCAATATCCAATAAGAGTAATTTCAATAACATATAACTTTGATTACCCTGCCAACAAAATATACTTGTGCAGCGGTCTCTGAGGCAGTTATGTATACAATATTGGAGAAAACACTAAATCCCCTTCGAAACCTACTTTAAAGAATTCGGATTAAATTTCAAAACAGGATGAAAACATAATTTTGTTGAGGAAAAGGACATGAAATAATAAAATACTTTCCATTATCGAAATAGTAGAGTTTAGTATGTAGAGCACCGCCAATAGTTTACCCTTTGCATTACCATTAGGAGAGGTTTTGAACATAAGGAGTGTACAACATAAGGGGCTTCATGGAAGCAACAGAATGAACGTATGGATTAAGTCTTCCGGTGGTTTGGTTTGAATATAATAAATCTGTACGCCTCCCGTACGGAAGATAATATAATAAATCTTTCAAGTTCCTAGAATACATTTAGTGATTTCTAGGAACTTGAGAGATTCAACTTTTCCTCTTCAGCTGCTTAAACCACAATTATTTGTATCCAAATTCGAAACTTAACCAGAATTTGAAAGAAACACGTAATTCGAATGAGAAAAAAATATATTTTCATGAATATTCGGCCAAGATATTTTTTCATATATTAATAACATACAAAGCAATATACACGAATTGTCAATTAGCAAATTTATTTTCTGAAATAATAAAAATATGGTCATTATTTACAAGGCGCTCCTTCGGCCATTTTGGTAGAATCAAGGTTATCCGTAATGTTTCAGATAAGGTTTACAAAATATAGCACCAGAAAGCGCCACTATTGGGGAGGGGTTGTATTGTCCCCTCCACCTCACCTCCATTTTAAGTAAATGTAGAAATTACATCTTTTAGATTACATATTACCCGCTTTTATTAAAGTTAGCATTCTTTCCCCACCATTTTCAATTCATAGGAAATAAATATCGATTGAACGCCCATTACAATTTCCATCTTATCAACATAATATATGCTTATAGTTTTTATATATATTCTGTCAATCAAACAAATTTTCAGTCTAACGGGCTATATACTGTCACAAATAATCTGTTTCATTGAAAGAACTCCAATAACTTAAATTTTGTTTTAATTGTGACACTTTATCTAAATTTTTAAATACTTGATGGTTAACCATTGTATATTTTAGATATTTAGATTGTATATATTAAATTTTTAGAGATAATACAATTACAGATAAAGTGTCACAATTAAAACAAAACTTAAGTTATTCAACTTCTTTAATTTACGATAAGGAAACAGAAAAGCATTAATAATGAAAAATCTCGAAGTTAAAAAAAAACAAAAACAGGAAATATGTAAATACAATAATCATAAATAATATTAGAAATATATAATGAAAAAACAAATTGATCGAGGTAATATGTGTCCATAAGTAAAATCGAAAATATAAACTTGGCTTCATCGATATACTGAAGATACGAAAAAATCGAAGTTAAAAATGTTGCTAATATATATTGTTATATTTGGTAATTATTTGTAAAAAAGATAAGGTGGAGGGGACAAGAGCTGACAAGACAACTCCTCCACAATAGCGGCGCTTCCTGGTGTGTTTTGTAAACTTTATCTGAAACATTGTGGATAACCTGAATTCAACCAAGATGGCCGAAGGAGTACCACTTGTAAATAATTACCAACAATATATTTTTTTATAAATCGAATACAAACACCCAAACGGCGTTGAGATAGCTATCGAATTCACATCATAATTATTTATTATATACTTTTAAAATTCATTTGTATACGTCGCACGAGGGCTCACCTCCCCCCGTTTTTACCTCCTCCCACTGACGGCGATATCTTAAGTCCCAAATCCATGTTCCGGATAGCAACCACTATTCGACCAGCACTAACTCGGCCGCCTTCATCATAACTCACGGCTGTGCTGGACTCACTCACGGCTACCAGAGAGTCTACATATCAGCCCATTGGCTACACACATCTGGACGTGGCAATGGAGAAGACGACATCGACGAGCCAGAGGACAGAAGCGACACCCGAGAGATAAGGCATCGTTCCTAAATGCTTAAAACCAGTCCCCTATTATTATATGTAGTATAATTTCATTTAACTAACACCTCTAAAATCGAATGACCCTTCAGGGATATCAGTTTGATAGCAATTAACAGCATTAAAGATTTTAACTAATCCACAAAAGAATAGGTGAGTGCAGACACCACTTCAGTAAAAAAAATAAATAAATAAAATCGTTTTCAATGAAAAGAAGCTTGGAAAGGCAAGATGCGTGTTGAGCGCAAGAACCACGTTAGTCTGTTGTTAACGTTAGTTCCGTAAATACATGACGTATTTTCCGATCGTTAAGCGCAGAAATAACATGAATCACTGACTAATGTGGTTTCTGCACTCATCGCTGGATTGCATGACCAGCAATGAAAGGCATATTTATATTCAAAAATATAAATACGAATACCATTTGTATTTATGGTACTATGAATATAAATTTAAATATATTTATATTCTTAAAATATAAATATAAATACGCGGTATTCACGATTGTAAAAGTGAATACGGAAGTATTAACACTAGTAAAAGTGAATGCGGCAGAATTGACGTTTATCAAAATGAATACGCTTAAATTTACAGAAGTGAATAGAAATATTTCTGCACAACCTTCTAAATGAATACTTTTATTTATAAAAAAAAAATTGCATGATAGCAATATAAATTCATGTTATAACAGAGGAAAAAAACTATGTTCAAATATTTGGAAGAGTTATGACGTTTTTCTCTCTCCTGAAAAATTTGAAATTAGTGACTGAAGTGGTTTCTGCACTCACTGATTTAAATACTCCCGAAGTTTATTTTTTATTCATAGAAGAAAAGGACTACCGGTCATATGACATTTATCGGACCCTCTATTACTGTACAATAGCTGTTTTATCATACGGTCGGAGCGGAGTTCTGTTCAGGAAAAATATGTTTAGAACTATAGAGCATCTATATCCACATAAGTGATAAATAAAATATAATGAAATCTAGTATTTAATAACTAATCTGTTTTTTTGTCATAAATAATATTATCATTAGAGACCGGATTTTCGTGCAGTAAAAATTCGGAACACGTGCAGTAAAAAACTCAAAATGTGCAAAATCGTGCATTAAAAATCCAAAATACGTAAAATTATGTAATCAAGACCTAAAAACGTGAAAAATCATCAATATTATTTAATTAATAGCATTAATAGAAAAAAAAAGCTCCTCACATTTCAAATCAGGTTATTTTTATATCCAGATTTTAATTTTTGACAAGAGACTAGATTTTACCTTCAGCATTATCAATTTTTTTTTTAATAATGAAATTTCTACAAATCAATTTAAAGCCAGAAGAGATACTGAAGCACGGTCGGATCTAGGGGAGCTTTCAGACTGAAGCCCCCCCCCCCTCCAAAATGGTAATATATAACCATGTTTTATGGACAAATATATTGAAAAATTATCTCTTAAAGTATTATAGTTTGTGTAATTTCATTTAAAAGGACTTAAGGAATCACTTAAACACCATATAATACAGATTTTCTTTCTTTTTTTCCAAAGTAATTATCGTCATTTTTATGAAAAAAAAGCTTTCGGGATGAAGCCCCCCCCCAAAAAAAAATTAATATATAATATATATTATTATTTATAATGCAGCTAATAATAGGAAAACAGATTTTTATCATCCAATATTTTAGGCAAGTTCTATTCCAAGAATAGGTCTCAATTCTGTTTACTTTTTCATTATGTAAATGAGTACGATTTTCGCTTCACACAAAATTATTTGCCTTCCTCATATTTTTTTATTTTGAATAATGGATTTAATTTGAAGAAATAGTGAAATATTAACACACTCACTTATACATTTGTATTTACAAATCGTCTAAATTAGCACAAAAGTGCAAAAATCTACAATTTAATGCAACAAATCAAAATCGTGCAATTTAAGCTAAAAACGGCAAAACGTGGAATTACGTGCATTATAAAATTTAAATATGTTATTATACAGGTCCTATAACAGATAAATATTTGGATCCGAAGTTTTTACACACAAGCGAATAAAACGTGCAATAACATGGAAATCCGGTCTCTAATTATCACTAACAGAAAATATTTGACGAATTGAATAATATTGTATATTCACCTATCTTTTCCTGTATTTTCGTTAATTCTGTTGTTTTTGATGAATAGAAAGCGATATCTAAAGCATATTTAAGTATGAATAATAAAAAATGTATTCACCAAAAACAAGACAAAATTTACTTCGAACGAAAGTGTATTTTCTCATTGTTAAGACCACTTAAAGAGGAATTTTGAGCGAATAAACTAAGTTACGTTGTAATATAAAAAAAAAAAAATATGATTTATAAGATATTTTTACCATTACCAGTACCAGTGTTTTTTTTTTAACAAAAAAACAAATTCAAATTGCCTACTTTCAAGCGGAAAATCGTACGTTTTAGATAGCTACAGAGAGGTCTACTGTCACCTGTTTAAATATTTACGAGAAACCCTGTATATTATTGTCTATGAATATAAATGACAATTTCAATAAAATTAATATTTATGTATCAACAAAATCCGTTATGTATCTACTACTAGGCCCTAGCATAGCTAACTAGTCGGCTTTTCTTAATCGATTTTAGTAAAAACATTTTATTCATCCATTATTAATTTTATTATTGATTATTTATTATTAATTTGAATTTTTTTCCCCTGACATTATTGGAGGAGTGAAACGATATTCTCGTCCCCTCAACATTTGTATTGGGCAAAGGGAGCGATCGCATCTTTCGCTCTCTACCGTTGTCTGTGCCTATGCAGAAGAGGCAAACACTTACAAGAAACCTCATGCTTTACTAGACTGAAGAATTCTAACTAACTGGACTGAAACAAGAAAAATAGTGGAGCTCCATCACCAGACTATTGAT